AAAACATCTGAAGCAAAATAGCTTTGCTGTCCTTGTTGAGCTGCCTCCAACTGAGGACCAGTCCCTTCTTTCAGCCAAGGTGGACCAGCCGTGTTTGCCTCAGGATGCGCTGCGAGGATCACAGATGTGTCTTGCTTTCCCTTCCCGCCTTGCCTGGCTGATCTGATCCCATTAGGGATGCGATGAGCTCTTTGGCTCGAGGTGGAGGCTTGTGGCATACTGGTGTGCCTGGGGCCCTCTCCTCTTCTTTCTTCCCTGGGATTTGAGTTTCCCTTCTTCTATCGCAGCTGCTTTCATCATCCTTTCCCTCTTAGGGTCTGTTGGGTCAGCAAGTCCTGACCACATCACTTCAGGGTCTCGCTTTGGGGCAAAAGAAGAGCAATCGTGTCTGGGATAGCAGAGCACTGGCCTCTGGGCACTGGTAGGGCAGTGAGAGCATGCAGGCCACGTCATGGTGACTGATGGAAACCCAGTGGTGCTGCGACCTGCAGAACAAACTCATGGAGTCTGGAACATGCTGTGTTGCAGAAGAATTTTTATATTAATTCTTGCAAGAATTAATATAGGAAGAAGCAGTGCCAGGATCATTCCTGATGTCCTCATGTGCTAGTGATTTAAACTGTTTCTGGAAAGGCAGCTTGCCAGCTCTTCCCAGACGGTGTGGTACAGAAGGTCCTTCGTGAATAGTTTCAGACCATCTATAGGAAGCTGTAATCAACGTTGAAAAATGCTCCTGTCTTACAGCAAAGCTGCAGCCCCAACAGACTAATGAATATTGTTGAGTTCTGCTTAGGCAGGTGGTTTGAGTAGCTGCTGTTTATCCTCTTCAGGGCTTCTTAGTATGCAGGAAGGTGGTGGCTTTTTTGGCAGCTCAGCAGACCCTGAGATGTGGGCTCTGCTCTACCTTCCGTCTTTCTCTGTTTCTCCAAGTGCTTTACCTGCCTCAGGTCATTTTGGTGGGGCCGTCCAGCTGCTGGAGGAGTCTGCCCTGCCTGCCAAAATGTTTATCAAAACTTCAGTGACAAATACCCCCCCCCCCCGATGTGTTACGCTGTTGGGAAATGCTTTGGCAGCAGGATGTAACAGCCCATGAGCCAAGGTCCGAGGTGCCAGCTGGAAAACCATCACCAAGCGTAGCTCCGAAAGAGCAGGCAGGAGAGACAAAGTGTTCTGGTTGCCGTCAGCACTAGGTCTTTGTTTGTGGTTTACTTCGTCCTGTGGGCCGGAGAAATCCAATCTGGAGGGCTCTTCCAGGCTTCTTCAGCAACAGCTTTTTTCCATCGGTGGAGAACAGCAGCGAGTGACACTTATTGCTTATAAGCCTGGTCAAAACCT